CTCTGTGTGTGTGTGTGTGTGTGTGTGTGTGTGTGTGTGTGTGTGTGTTGAAGGTACTAGCTTCTTTGTTCTAGGCTGACACTTTACCACATGAACATAGTTCTATTTTCAGCTTTTTGGTGGTTAATTGGAGATAAGAGTCTCATGGATTTTCCTGGCTGGGCTGAAGTCAGACTTTAACCCTTTGATATCAGCTTCTTGAGTAGCTAGGATTACAGGCATGAACCACTGGCATTCAGTTTGATTCTACATTCTTGACTGTGAAATTCTTAGTGTTTAAGCCGATGGCTATAATGTTCAGGTTCCACTTTTTCTGTATTTGAAAATTAAGCATTTGCTCTAGTCTTCTGCCTCGTCCCATATCCTTGAGCATTTCTAAAGAATGATGAATAGTGATTCTTTTAGACTTTGTTGTCGCCCAAGCATCAGGGAATGTGACTCCTTGGTGCTTAGAAGTGGGATTTCATTTGAATCACTTGGTTCATTCACCTATCCTGGGTTTCAGAATAAAACATATTTGATTTTGAGTCTCATTAATAGTTTTGGATTGTTGGGGATTTTTCTCTCTCTCTTTTTTTTTCTACTCTTTGTCTGGGAGGACCTTTTTAGACCTTTTCCCCTTTTGTTGTTTGTGTTTTAAAAATCTAATGTGAAGCCAGGCTCTAAGTTCAAGTCCCAGGACCAACAAAAAAAAATTAATTTGAGCCAGGCGCTGGTGGCTCATGCCTGTAAACCTAGTTACTCAGGAGGCTGAGATCTGAGGATCACAGTTCAAAGCCAGCCTGGGTAGGAAAATCAGTGAGACTCTCATCTCCAATAAACCACTAGAAAACCAGAAGTGGCTCTGTGGCTCAAGCAGTAGAGTGCTTGCCTTGAGCTGAAGAGCACAGGGACAGCGCCCAAGCCCAGAGTTTAAACCCCACGACCAACCAAAAAAAAAAAAAAAAAAAAAAATCTAATTTGAGGAGTGGAGATTGTGGCACAGTAATAAAATAGCATGGGCAAGCCTCTGGATTTGATCCTCACCTCCAAAAAAACCCCAGCTCTACTAATGGAAGAAGAGTTCATTTAATTTGAATTTCTATTTAAAAAGTAATGAAACTAAAGCTCAGAGACGCTAAATGACCTTGTCTAATTTAGATCTTAACTGTGATTTTTGGCAGGATATCAAAGTGAATCAGAGTACCTCCAGAGTTCAAGATGCTGATTGCAAGCCTTTGCCCTTTCCACTAATTCTTTTTTTAATCTTTAAGTAACTGTACAAAGGGGTTTTAATTCAACATGTCAATGTATATGGACAGTACATCTTGACTTCAAGGCAACAGTCTGCAGTTATTTTAGCCTATTGGTTCCTTTTCTTATTAAGTCTTAGTATGAAAAGGAAAGGTCATTTTCTACATTTTTCTTTTTCTTTTTCTCCAGGGGCTTGAACTGAGGGCCTGGCCATTGTCCCTCAGCTTTTGTGATCAAGATTAGCACTCTACCACTTAAGCCACAGCTCGACTTCCAGCTTTTTGGTGGTTAATTGGAGATAAGAGTTTTTCACACAGGGCTGGGAAGGTAGCACAGGGCTAGAGTACTTGCCTTGCATGGATGAGGCCCTAGATTCGATTCCTCAGCACCACATAAACAGAAAAAGCTGGAAGTGGCCCTGTGGCTCAAGTGGTAGAGTGCTAGCCTCGAGCTGAAGAGCTGAAGGACAGTGCCGAAGCCCAGAGTTCAGGCCCCACAAGACACACGCACGCACGCGCGCGCGCGCACACACACACACACACATACACAGGAGTTTTTCAGACTTTCTGACCAGACTGGCTTTGAACTGTGATCCTCGGATCTCAGCCTCCTGAGTAGCTAGGATTATAGGGGTGAGTCATCAGCGCTTAGCATCAAGACCATTTTTAAACAGTTTTGTTCCATTTTTTTTAGCTATTCTTTTTTCCCCCTTAGCTATTCTTTTTAAACTAGATAATAGTATAATTTCCCCTGTAAGCACTTTTTCACACTAAAAATAATGGAATATAACCAAAGGATAACAGAAACTATAATCAAAAATAAAAATAAATATATATACACACATACATAAGTGTACATATGACATATGTATGCATACATGTGTATTATTATATGTCCTATACACATACACACATACATATATAGTTATTCGGTTATTTTTGGCTTTTGCCTGTTTGGGTTAAATTTTACAGGATCTACTTTGTCTTAAGAGGTGCAGCACATTCTTAGATATTATGTACATTTTATGAGTCAGATTCTTAAATTTATATATGCATCATGAGTTTACTGGCTTGTTCCTGTTTGCTTTTCCCATATATGTCTAGGGTTGCAATAGTGTCTAAATCTTTTGAAGGAAAAACTGATCGCACAGAAGAGTGGTATGGAACCCAATACAAGCAAGAAGCTATACCTGATGAAGTGATCAAGGTAGGGCTCCTCCATCTGGGAATGAGCCTGATCAGGGAGGAACTATGAGATCATGAGCTCTCTGGCTTCACAGACTTAAGACTGGATGGGGGTGGCCCATAAATACTGTCCCTAGAAGATCTCATGATATGAGTCAGGCCCTAAGAAATACTGAAGGGAAAAAAGCTCTTTTAAGCCTGGGCCACAGGCCAAACATGGAAATAACTGCCTAGTCATAGTCAATGGCTCTTATGTAAATACCTTGTAGTCTAAGAGTTGGGAAAATATATCACTGTACAGATTATTTTGTTCTTGAAAGAGCTGGAGCAAACACCATTTTCAAGTGTGCCAGTTAGATTCTCTATGTTCTATAGTCTTGTTTATTCCTTATGCTAATCATTTTAGATATGGAAAGGAGAGATGATGAATACATGCTTCTCTAGCCCCCCAAGAGAAACTCAAGTTTCATAGAGACCCACCAGTAAATTACATGTGATGGAAAAAACTGTTAGGTGATATTATTCCCTTAACATATTTTTGTTTAGGTATTGAGCAAAGACACATTTCTTTTTCTTTCATAGCACAGTGCTAGGGCTGTATGCTCAGCCCAAAGTCGCTTTTTTAACTCTTGAAACAGGCTGTTAATTGCTTTTGTGTGTGTATGTGTGTTACTATTCACCCAGAAATGGCAGAATGCTGACCTGAATGGAAAATTTAAACTCCCAACAAAGAACGAATTTATTCCTACGAATTTTGAGATCTTGTCCTTAGAAAAAGATGCAACATCATACCCTGTTCTTATTAAGGTAATGTTTGGAATCTGTATTTTTCATTTTGTTTTGCTTTTGTTTGGGGGGTCTCACTATATTGTCCAGGATAGCCCTGAACTCCTTTGATCAGGTAATTCTCCTGCTTCAATATCTCAAGTAGCTGATTCTACAGGCTTGTACCAACCATCCCACCCCACCCTCCATCCTGAACAGAATCTGTGGCTTTATCTTGTTTAGTTCTGTTTGTTTTTTTTGTTTTGTAGTACTGGGGTTGAGCTCAGGGCCTTAGAAACTAAGTATTAGCACTGAAGCTAAACCCTCAGTGGTTTAGTTTGGGAGATTTACTACATGGGAAACTAGTTGGATAATACCTTGTATTTGGTATTTTGTTGATTTAGGGGGTCTCATATCCTTAGATATGACAAATCTTGCAGAAAGACTCTAAGAATATTAGGTTTAAAATATTTCAGGAAGAAAATGAAACTACTGAACAACATAGGATCTAGAGAATTGCTTCCTTTGTAAGGAAAAAAAATGCTTAGACTGTAACCATAAGTGAGTCAAAAGATCCAGTATTTTATCCAGGTCCATTGGAAACTCAGGAAATAGGTGTGTGCTACATCATAAAGTTAGCAGTAAGAAACCTTCCCTTGGACCCAGGCCCAGAGTTCAAGCTCCACAACCACCAACACAAAATAAAAAGAAACCTTGTTCGAAGGGAAGCTGTTAGTTTACTGCACTTAAAAAAAAAATCTCATTAGGATACAAGGGCTGGATGAAGTTAATGGGATTTTATATCAAAGAAATGGGTGACTAAGAAGTAGACATTTTCCTCTTTTTTCTTTCCAGACTGTTCTTTTCACATTGTTTCGTACTATAGGTAGTAATTGTCAAAAAATAGAGATTAAATTACTACAGCAACATTCTCCTTTCTAAACTTTCAAACTAAAACTCATAATTATTGACACGTATCTTTTATTATCTTCTTTAGATGACAACATTCAGACATTCGTGAGTTAATAAGATGAGAATTGGTGTTTAGGAACATGATTTTTTTTTTTTTTTTCTGTTGGTTGTGGGGCTTGAACTTTGAGCCTGGGCATTGTTCCTGTGCTCTTCAGCTCAAGGCTAGCGCTCTACCACTTAAGCCACAGTTCCACTTCCAGTTTTCTGGTAGCTAACTGGAGATAAGAGTCTCATGTACTTTGCTGTCCAGGCTGGCTTTGAACCTTGATCCTCAGATCTCAGCCTCCTGAGTAGCTAATTAAAGGAGTGAGCGACCAGCACCTGGCATTTTTTTTTTTTTTTTACTGTTAAGCTGTTGTCCATTTGAAATCCCTTATCTGAAGGAGATTTAATTGAAGAAATCAGATTATGAGTACACTGCATCATGATCAATGTCCCCCCTTCCAGTGAGGAATGTGGGATTCAATTTAGCTCAAGCAACTAGATTTTACGTTATCTACTAATTCTTCTACAATGACTTAAACTGAGTTACATGTTAAGTTATGTATAGCTTGTTTACCTCTCTTAGTATTTGTTAGCTACTTACTTGTATTTATTAGTGTTGGAAGAATCCAGGAATGTGTGCATGTGAAGTACCCATTCTGCCACTGTGTTATACCTTCAGTCCTTGCTTGTTTATTTTAAATAGGCTTTTTCAGAATAAATTACGGAGTAAATTAGACATTTCTATCTCTTGACAGAATTTTATAGTAACTCCAAGTAAGTATCTGTAATATAACGTGAGTGAAGTGAGAATCAAGGTGGCAAGCTGGTTTGTTCCTCTTTGTGTGTTTGTTTCCAGTCACTACATAACAAATTATTTTTTTAATTTTGCAGTCTAGAAACACAAACACTAAAACAATAAAATTAAATGGCAAACATTTGGTGTAAATACCCTGGGACTCAGAAATCTAGAAGTGGCATAGTTTGGTACTTTGGGCTCAGATTCTCTGAGTGTATAGTCAAGCTGGTAGCCATGGCTTTGGTCATCTGAAAGCTGGTAGGGTTGGATGATTCTTTTCCAAGTTCAGTTCTGTGGTTGTTACAAGGCCTTAGTTCTCTACCAGGTGGACTTTCAGGTGTTAGTTGAGCTGGCAGCTGGCTTCCGCCAGAGAATTGATCCAGAAGGGATAGTGAGTGATCAAGATAGCAGCCTCAACTTAGACTTCACAGGTATCACACTAGCACTTCTGTCTTCTGTCAGTTAGGCAGACTTAACCTGGTCTAGTTGTAGAAGGGGGAATACCAAAAATTGTGAATCATCGCAGACAGGGATTATGTAGGCCCCCTTGGAGGCTGGCTGCCATACCTCCCACAAAGGAGTCCTACCTGTACCTCACCGTGTCCAGAAAGATGAGGACAGGACAATTGGTATCAGGCCACCAATCTGCCTCTTCCTCCACCATACCATCCTGTCCATAATCTAGGGGACATAGAGGGTTTTTCTCTGCCACAGGAGGCCAGTCCTCTCTGTTAGCTTCCTATTTGTCAATGCTGCGCTTCAACCCAGGGAACCACAGCTAAAAGAACAAACTTTCAACTATTGCCTCTATTCTCCTCCTGGAAGAGTAAATTGATTTCCAATTCTTCCTGAATGTGCCCCAATTTTCCAAACCAAATTGTTTCTCCATCACAGGATACAGCTATGAGCAAACTGTGGTTCAAGCAAGATGATAAGTTTTTCTTGCCGAAGGCTTGCCTCAACTTTGAATTTTTCAGGTATGTAAAAAAATCTAGCTATAAATCTTTAAAATGTCAACAATTACATTTCTTTCTTTCTTTCTTTCTTTCTTTTTGTCCTTCTTAGCCATCCGTGTATAACACTAATAGGAGTTAGGTTTTGTCCAGTCAGTGGAAGGCTGCTGGCCAAGGCTGTTCATTTTTCCTTTTTACATGAATGAGTGCGTGCTTTTAGCTGAAATGATTTGTGCTGGTTGTTATTAGGAGGACTTTCCTAGCCTTCACTATTCTAGATTCTGAAAAGGTTATCGATCAACCAAGAAGTTTCACTGAGGAAAGCATAAGTAACTTGGGGTGTTCCTATTGTTTTGGTTTTAATTCCTGAAACTTGTCCAGAATAAGAGATAGAAATTATAAAATGGTCTTGAGCCTTTCTAGTCCTTTAATTATCCGGAATTTACTTTTTACTTTAACTTTTTTTTTTTTTTGGCCAGTCGTGGGGTTTGAACTCAGGGCCTGGACACTGTCCCTGAGCTTCTTTTGCTCTACTACTTAATTTACAGTGCCACTTCTGGCCTTTTCTGTTTATGTGGTACTGAGGAATCAAACCCAGAGCTTTATGCATGCTAGGCAAGCACTCTACCACTAAGCCACATTCCCAACCCAACTTTAGCATTTTTTAAAAATTAGGTTACATGAGTTATACAGAAGGTAGTTTCCATTGCCACATACTATAATGTATTCCAGTCAGTTTCATTCCCTTTATTACGTTCCCTTCCCTCCCAAAGCAATTTCAGCAGGTCCCGTTCGGTTTTCATAGTAGTAAGCAATCTATTACAACCATATTTATCCTCTTTCAGGTTGTGTTTTAGTTTTACTTTTTCTTTTCTTTTTTTTTTTTTTTTTGGTCCCTCATAGGACTTGAACTCTGGGCCTGAGCGCTGTCCCTGAGCTCTTCAGCCCAAGGCTAGCACGCTACCACTTGAGCCACAGTGCCACTTCCGGTTTTCTGGTGACTTACTGGAGATCAGAGTCTCATAGACTTTTCTGCCTAGGCTGAGCCACTGAGGCCCAGCTCCTATCCCTTTTCTTAATCTTGATTAACTGACTTTTGCTGTAGGTAATTCAGAACAGATTCCTCATAATATCTACCTTTGGACTTACTAATTCTTTCAAATTGGGGTAAACCTAACAAGCTTATTTGCAGCACTAATTAATTAAGATTAATTGATTAATGTAGTGCTAGGAATTCAAACTCAAGACCTTGATCTTGCTAGGCAAGCACTCTTACCACTGGAGCCATGTCCTCAGCTTCCCCACCCCCCCAAATGGAGTCTCATGTTTTGACATGATTAACCTGGACTGTGATCCTCCTCTTCATACCTTTCTGGTAGCTAGGATGACAGGCCATACTACCATCACCAAACCTTGCTTATTCGTTGAGATGGGATCTTGTGAACTTTTACAGGCCCTGGTCGCTTGTGAACCTCCTATACCTTCCAAGTAAGTAAGATTACAGTCATGACCCATGGCACTTAGCCCATATGTAGCCCTATTTATTTATTTATTTAGTCAGTATGGGGCTTCGACTCTGGGCCTGGGCACTGTCCCTTAGCTCATCAGCTCAAGGCTAGTGCTCTGCCACTTAAACCACAGTGACACTTTCAGTTTTCCGTGGTGAATTAGAGATAAGATTCTCATGGACTTTCCTGTCTGGGCTGGCTTATAACTGATCCTCAAATCTCAGCCTCCTGAGCAGCTAGGGTTACAGGCTTGAGCCACCGGCGCCCAGCTTGTAGCCCTTTAATATTGAAGGACTAGCTATATGCCAGAAGCTCAATCCTGTAATCCTAGCTACTCAGGAGTCTTGAGATCTAAGGATTGTGGTTCAAAGCCAGCCCAGGCAGGAAAGCCAATGAGACTCTTTTCTCCAATTAATCACAAATAGAGCTGTGGCTCCAGTACCACTTGAGCACTAGCCTTGAGTGTATAAAGCTCAGGGATATATATCACATACATACAAAAAAATGCACACACACACGAACATATAAACTAGCAAGGGTCTATCTAGTCTATCTAATCTTTTAACAGAACTGTATTAAAACCTGTATTTTAGCCCCATCAATACTATTTATTCATCCCATACTTAATAAGTATCTAAAGACTGGTACCCCGTTGCAGCAAATCTCTGAATCTTCATATATCTCCCTTTCTCTTTTCTCTTAGCTTGACTCTGTGTGTGTGTGTGTGTGTGTGTGTGTGT